ACACGCATCAACTTCTGTTCCCATTACTTACGCAACACACCGAAAAAACTCACAAACTCCAAGACTAACATCTGACACTTGTTTCCCCTCACGTCTGCCGTCGTAACCACAGATACACTCGCCCATCCGAAGTATAGCACAGGGCCCCACCTGACGCCCCCGCGGATGCAAAGTCCATGTTCTTGCTCTTTTTTTACATTGACCCCGCCTTTTCACGTGACATCTTCCGAGAGATGAATTCCCTCCACCCTTCCCACGTTGCTGATGAGGACAATTCTCGAAATAGTAATCGGATAAATTTACTGACTTTAATTAAAAATAACGAGCACCTTATCTCCATTTCCTTTATAAATCAACACCTACCATCACTGTCTAGACAAATACACTTCTAGAACAGCACTAACATATTACTTTATTGATCATCCTCCACGTTCATTGAATCTCCCAATTAGTAACCGCATCATTGTGCGGCTTCTATTTCACTTACATCCAGATAAATTTAACCCGATCCGATCAAGTCACTACTAAAGACATATCCACCGACCAACAATATTGTACAGAAAGAGTCAAAAACAGTCTCATGGAGATAACAGTATAATACTACATTCCCGCCTCTTCCCGATCTCCTTAATTTATACTTAAATTACTCAATAACCAATACAATAGTAGAACCTATCTCAATTTCGGGTCTGCACTTTATGAACAGAAGCTGAGTGTGAAGTGTAGCTAGGTGGTGATTGATATATACAATGAGGCTGCTAGGTTAAGGTTATAGAGTACCTAAACTTCAAGTAAATGTTCTTTGCATGTCGCTTTATATAAAAGTCATGAAATATCTAAAGAGCAACCGATTCGTGTTATAACCTTGAAAATCTCATAACAACTTCACACGCAACAAGCTTTCCGTCCAGTTTTATCACACACAAGCGAATAGCTTGGGCGCCTTGGACGGATGATACCCATATGCAATAGCGCTTTCGGCGACCTCTACTAATCACTCTCCATTAGTTACATCGAACACGCGTCGCCCAAACTCGTGCTCCTCGCTTCTCTCCCGTTCTTATATAAAGCCGTTAAAGTGTCACGATATTTTGATCAAAACTCACGCCTATAACGCTCCTCTCCGCCTCTTCAATTCTTCACCCCTCCACACACTCTTTACAAGAGTTCAGGCCCAGAAAAAGGACTTTGGACTTGAATTTTAATAAATTTAATAAACTTCAACTAATATCTAACTCATGGCAAAAAGAGTTTCATTTTCATACTTTTGCAACATCATTATAATTTATAAATTTTAACCTACACTCTCAAGACCTGTAGAAATCATGGCGATAAGAACTAATGCCGCAGGTGACCTGGAAAGAGCAATTATTGTTAAAAGCACATTGAGGATATCCTCCTACTTGCTCTTCCTAATCTATAAGATTTTAAGCTCGATATAACCGACTCGTCCTACTCTTCTCTCGCACGTCATCTTACCCTATTCAACAATATGTTCTCACATACCACCAATTAATCTGCCCCTTCTCTTATATATGTTCTGTGTGTTAGCACACTAATTTAACATCCTACGAGTGTTGCAAACTGCTGAGTTAGGAGGAGCCAAGCGCCTCAACCTCCTTTTTGTTCGAGAAATCTAAGTACATGTGTCGTTTATTTTAGGAACAATCCTATGCTCTGTTCAATAAATATATTCACAATCGGGGCTTGGTTTGTGACCCCCCGTAACTATTTTATGTTTATTTGGAGAACACACCACTCGTACATATTCCCGGGGTCGAAATAATAATATCAGTTCCATCTTGGTCAGCATCGTGGTGGCAGACTTTAATTTCAAAGATAAATCCTCAGGTTCGGGTGCCTATTTTGATTCATCCTTGCACCTTTCTGTTCTAACTCTCTTATCCACGACCAGAGAGTTCACAATACAAATATCAAGCATGAGCCGTGTTCGGTATCATCGCAGCGACCACCCTTTGCTTCATTAAGTGATAACATAAACGCGGATGGCTACGAAGCTCTCGTGTTATTGTTTCACTCGACTATGTGGCAATAGTCGTCTTAGACTGTAATCAACATACTATTCCATATGTTGGTTAATACGTTAGAGTCATGAAACTTACCTACGAATCTAAGTCCAACCAGAAGTGCATGCTTTTCGCTTTAATTCTGAGTCGTTCCTGTAATCCTCCTCCTTCCGCTCGCTTCACGTTATATTTTATTTTAAATCACTATCTTATCCTACACACATAGTTTTTTGTGAAGAAATACACAATGACACAATTGTTGCCTCCCTTTTCATTCTACTTGTCATGTCTATCTAGTTATACAATATTACGCTCAACATTATATATTCCTGTACTATGTAAAATCTGACTTGGGTATGTCAGTTAGTCATGAAACGAAATTCCGTTCAATCTTCCTTCTTACTTGCCACATAATGGCTATCAGCCATTTCCTAACCTCCCTCACACAATCTTCATTACACCGTCCTTCGTATCTCGTTCGCCTCTTAGCCCGTCGGTGGGCCCGTTTCATCTCATTTTCCAGGACACTCCTATAGCTACTCCATGTAACTCTTATTTCTCACACCCATTTATATCGTAATGCTTTCAACACCACCTCCACATAAATATATACCCCAACTATATACTTTACTACACTCATCCTCTATTAATTCCTTACATTCAATAGGCACAATTACCAATATGATTATATCTTTATCTGACACACCTACCATATTTAACGCCTCTCTTATGTTATTCTATCACCCATTTCCTCTTATAAATTCAATAATCTCAACAGTTTATTTTAATTTAACTTTAAACTCGAATCCCGTGGCCTGACATTTTGAGCATCCACACCCTACAATAGTATATCTTAGACATTGCGCGCCATTAAATTAATCCGCAGCGAGGCCAAGCTTTTCGATGGATGCGGCTAAACACACAACTAATAAATCTATATCAATTCCCTTTTTTAGTTACCTCGCTCAGTTCAAATGAGAGTGAGACTCCTATCATGCCCGGTGCTGCACTTACCCTACTTACTTATCCTTCCGCTAAGTGTCTTATCCTCCTACGAGCCCAACCATCTTTTTTCTATGTGTTATATCACTTAAGTCCTTCATAGCTAAATATTTTCATTTGCAGTTCAGTGTGTGAAGCGCGTGTGCTCCTTTTGTACTTGTTAGATTTTCCCTGCTTGGACGGATATGTGTTCTCTGCGCTGATCTGTTCTTATACTGCCTGTAGTGTGGTGGCTTTTATTCCCCCGTTGTTTAGCGGCGCTGTCAACTAAAACCAGCGAAAAGAGACACCAAGATAAAAAAGAACCAAATCCCACTTTAACCTCGTGTGTTCTGATGAGAGAGAACGAGAGAAGACACGATAACCACGGTATTCTATGCAGGCACTTCTCCCTCTAAAAACCTTCCGTCTCTCCGTCGCGTCCACTCTCTTTATGTGTGATAGACACACTTCCCAACTATTTCCTCACAGTCAGTTTTAGATCTGATTTGCTCATAGGTCTACTGGTAACCCTCTTGGCTGAGTTAAAATCCCTTTAACTTTTCCGAACGGTGTCCTTTGGCCAGGTGCCTTCCTTTCTCATTGCTCTAGATCTATAACACGATCCGATCCTACGCACAAACTGATAACTCAGATATGCGATATGACGCCCATCGCCCGCGCAACACGTGACGGGCATGCCTGTATTTAACCAGCCGTCGTGATGACCGACGCATGCCTGAGTATCCTGTCCGAATATAAACGAGGATACGCACTTCTTCTTCTCTCTCGAGTACCTCATCTCTTATTGTCCGTAATTATCAACTGAGGTGGAGACAGTAGAGTATCATCCATAATGTGAGCCTCGGCCTTTTTTTGAATCTTTCTTACATGCTTCGCGTTCTCTGCCTCTGTTATATTTTTTTTGTTCTGTTCGTCGCTTCTTTTTAATCAATTTGCAGTGAGAAAGTGTAAACATGCCGACTCTCAATTATTGTGCGACTCTATGGACTCCTTTCATTTTTAGTGTATGATTTGGTTTATTTACCATTCTCTGTCCTCTCTCCCTTTCCAGAAGGAGACCTTCACGTCCATGGTTTATACTTTCTCGTGCTTCCCTTTCTTTCTCTATATTCTTTCTCTGTTTTACAAGCCTCGCTTATTCTCTCTCTTTATATTCAGTTCTCGTTGGCAGCAATTGTTTTCTCTCTTGAATACCATATATCTCTATCTGCTCTCCCCAAGCCCCGACGCTCATTGCGCGCTCCTTATCCTTTTTTTTCCCCGCTCTACAAATTAGAACTACCCGTGTGTTTGTACTTCACACTTATTGCTTGATGGAGTCTCCATCCTTCTGTCTTTCAAGCTTTGCTCCATATTCTACCTTTTCTTCGTAGCTAGATTTTGTTTAATTTTGCATGCATTGAGTGTTACCGTCCTTTTGCGTACTCGTGAGCAGACACAGGTCTAGGCGACTTGATGTATGGCCCTCATGGTCTCTACCACACACGAGCAGAGCAATTTGCCGGTGATCCACGCACCACTCGGACAAAGCTTCAGAATCATTTAAGCCAGTGTTAATATGCTTTTTCCCTCCTGGCTTTGGTTCGTCCCATGAGCAACTGCTACGAGAATGTGGACAGTCACAGCGACTAGCTAGCGCACCACCGGTGCAGGACCGGTGCAGTTTTGAGAGTTCGTGCCGAGTGATTTGAAGCTATGACCAAACCGTATGAGCTTACCGATTGTGGAGCACCTAGTGATTCCGTGATGTGGCATAATGAGCTGCATTGTAACGTGCGCCAGAAGCAGGCTTGCGGTACGGGTGTATCGATGTTTTTTCAAGCTTTTAGATTATTCTTGGAGCGAGCCACTTTAGTTGCACATTTCCGTTCCAGCCTATAAGCGATTTTACTTAGCTGCTGTGCTATATTAGGCTACTGGCCCAAGTTCACCTCATTTCTCTGGTTTTCTGTGTTCTGCATTGGTTATTTAAAGTTCTCCGAACCTACGCATGGGAGGGGACGATGGGACCTTCACAATACCGCGCCTCCTTTGTGGGCAAACCATTTGCTCTTCAGTCTTCTGTTGTGTGATCTCGTTGATTGCTCGCATAACCTGCTGGTTCGAGTGAGTAAGTTTCATTTTGCGCGCCAAAGGAACCTGAGAAAGCAATGTTCGCAACCACATCAGCCAGTTATGAATTTTCCTCCTGATACAGTAAGAAATCCAATCGGCTCAGGGCGAAGGCTGCCACTCAATAAGTGATAGAGAATTGACCCTGCGCAACCGCATTGCATGTCCATATTCCCTCAGCACCTGCACAGCAAGCGCGAAACTGTTGTGCCTACTCGCATGCCGAGTGGAAGACTACGTTGCTCCCTGGCTCCCCAGCTTACTTGGCGGCCGTGTGTTCCTTCGTGGCCGAGCAATCTCACGTGACAATCACCCAGTGGGGTGGTACATAGTGTTTAGATGGTGCCTCGAGCCTGAATGCCTTCACTCCGAGTTTTGCACTTGATATTCAGTCTCGCCCCCGTTCCACGGATTCTCTGCCCATGCAAGAGTGCTTGACTTACACAGTTGGTTGTATAGCCTGCTATATGTGTACCTAGTTTCGATTCGTAGGCCTCAAGCACTTGTGCAAGGCTTGCTCTTGCTTGATCCATTCACAACTTGCGCTTCTACTTAGGACATATTGCGAGACGGATCGGAATATCACTTTAAAATTGTTAACTGTTGTGTTTGCTCTGGCACTTGAAACCTTTGCCCCAATACAGGTGCGTCATACTCTTGGCTCACCACTTTGGTCTACCTAAGTCAGGCCCTCTCCCGCGTATGTACCACCTATTTATCAAAGCGGTGCCTGGAAATATGATACGACTTGTCGAACGGCATTCGTGTACATAGGATCGCGGCCCCACCTCCCTCTCACCTGCCAGACTTTCCCTCGCACACGCCGCACAGACCTGTTCCCGCTCTGTCCCTTGTCGGTCTTCCCCACCACTAACGAGGGGATTGCGGATCACCCCGCCCCCCCTGTCTCCTGCCGTTAGCAGAAGTAAGCATAATTAAATGAGTTCGCTTTTGTACGAGGCACTTCCCTTACAACGATTCTAGATATAATCTCAAAAATATTTTGATTTAGGAGGAGATTACGTACCGGGGATGATGGTGTAATGTTATGGCAGTTATTGTCACAAGGATATGGACAGTCAATCTCTTTGGTTATATTTCTATCAAAATACCAATCACCAACTGCTGCTGCTATGGTCTGCCAAATAAGGTAGAGATATTATTCACAGCGACATTGATGAGTTTTATTAATAAAATGGGGTAAAGGATTCAACAACCAAACTTAAAATCAGCAAGACAATGGAAATGAGAAGATGACAACAAGAGTTGCTCTGATCCAGCTTAATTCAGGACATTGTTAAAGAAACAGAACGGCATAACTGTGTGAGTGGATTGAACAAGCCTTCATGCAAATTAGACAAGCACATTCCAAAATTAGGTCTTAAATTGTCTGATTATTTCTTTATGTGATCAGATTATGTTATATCTGAAAATGAGCTAATTTGAACTGGAGGTAGTTCATTTATAATTTGTTGCAGCTTGAATTGAAAAAATAGCATAATTGAACTCATTTAATTAAGAGCCTAAAATAGCCTATCAAGTCAATGGATAGTGATGTCAAAGCATGTATAAGAGAAAATAATATTCTGAAGCCTAATGCGCAGAATGTAAGCTCTGTACCTTGTCGTTTAACCTTGGGGAGTCAACCGCAAGCCATGTCTCCTGGGACTCGCTTTGACAATGAGCAAAGCAAGAATTTATAAACATTCCCCCATGGGTGGAATTTTTGAGGAAATCCAGGGCCGTCAGCATTTCACTTCTGAAACCTGGACACAAGAAATCAATACAACAAAGTGATTGGTTTGTATAATTTGTAAAATTTCAAAATTCATAAAGAATGTTTGTCGGAACATGCAGAGACCAAACCTTGTAATGTCTCTATCTGCTTTTCATCACACTGTGCTCTGTCCAGCTTGCAACTCTTCCATTGTCCGCGCGAGTCAGCAGAAGGAGGCACCAATATATGGTTCAACTGTTGAACTTTAAAATTTCAATCATTCTGTATGATTTGATGAACCTAGTATAAAGTGTGACTTCAATGGTGTGTGTGTTGCGTGATTTCGGATGATTTCAGATTCAAGAAGGCTAGTAAATATTTACTTGGAACACATCATAAGCTGTATTCAGGATGAAGAATGGTGTTTTAATGAACTTCAATGCATATTGTGGAAAGATGCACTGCGTAATACATACGAAACAACGTAAATATTAGACGTACCAAACAGCAAGGAAAGATTAGAGGAAAACATAAGTCAAGAAAAAAATTTACCAGTTTCGGATCTTCCAAGGAATTGGTGCAGTCTTTGTTGAGATTCTTTTCTATCCCCTGCCGTGAAGAATATATTTGGTTAGTAAAATTGGCAATATTTATAACTTGCACAACATACTAGAAGTTCTGTTAACACGTTTAACTTGTTTAGGGGTTTTCTTATGTGCATCCTAATTCACATATTTTTCTAAAGAAAGCGACAAATTATGTTCAGTTGTTATGTAGCAACTTCAGTTTTACTGTTCAGATGTTGTGCCGGAATATCTTTGCTCACCGATTATGCATTAAGCGCAAATCCATGCCGAAGGATGAATTCATTCTCCTAACCCTATCCCCAGCTAAAACACAAGCAATCAATGAGAAAATGCAATCTACAGGCTGATGGAAAACATCCACTGAAATACTGAATTGAGGAGCTTACTTTGACTTGTAAAAGCAAATTAAGATAAGGTTGGAACTTCAAAGAGCATAATGTTTACAAAGAGCTTTACATCATATTAGTGGTTGGAGAAAATAGCGCGCAAATACAAGGACATTCCTTAGATTATAATGTCAAAATATTATGAGAACGATTGAGGGGAGTGGCAATTAGTGAAGTGTGATTGAAGTTACGTGAAACACAAAATAAGTGTTTCACTGTGCATTTCAAATATATTGTTGTAGAGGCACAGTACATTTTCAAGAGTTTTACCTGCAAAGTAACAAGACTTTGAAAGGCGGACCTCATCTTGTAGTTCAAACTGATGTCTTTTCTGTCAAAAGGAATAAAGGAATATTTTAAGTAAGTGATAAAGGTTCTTGTTACACCGTGCAAGAAAGTACAATCTTACGCATCCAGAAAAAATCCTGCGTCACTCAAGCACTTCACGGTGGCAGTTTTCGGTAAAACTTGAGCAAAGCTGTCACAATGGAGAAAGGCTGATAAACCCCCAGCAGAGCAACCTGAAAGCATAGCCTACAGGAGTAGATCATGAAATTAATATCGAAATGACGAGGAAATATTACAATCTAACCAAAGAGGATCACATTTTTTATTTTTGGGATGAGTTCAATTAGTTGTCACCGGTCACTTATGCATGTTAAATGAACGCCACAATTTGGGTGAAGAGGCAAATCAAATTCTTGCGTTGAGTAGCTTTTACCTTTTCTGCCTGCGCTAACCCTTGTGGGAGAAGATCTTGAATAATTGCCTCCCAAATCTTTTGTCCTCTGAAATAAATGACTGTCTGTTTTATGAGTACAAAAAGGAAAAAGTTAATAGAGCAAACAATGTCTTTTTATAAAATATCATAACAGAACTTGTCATTCCAACACAAATCAAAAGGCCATTTTTAGATTCATCTTTTGATACAATGACATCCAGCAGGTGTGCATCAGAAATACGAAATAAAATAACAAAAGGATAGTATCCAGCAATGAAATCCCTCTAATCGTTTCAGAGTGTCTTCCTTGAATATATTAAAAAAAAAAAAAGAAAAAAAAAGCTGCAATTCACCACTACAAACAAAGCAGGCAACTGTTTTTTCTGATCAGAGATTATTGAATTTTTGCAAGAAAGATAAAATTAAGAATTACTACGAACTGTTTTATCGGTTACAATAAGTTTCTCTATTCACAGCTAAATTGTTAGCGTACATTAAATAAATTTACCAAGGCAGGTGATTATATATCTAAGTCATTATAAAACGAAACCTGATGCAACATATTGATCTTTTGGATGGTTCTTTTGTTGTCACCAAAGAAATCTTAACCAACAATATCGAGTTCAAATGAAATTTTGAAGACTCCGGACAATAAATTTTCCAATGCTAAGCACAAATTCAGCAGAGTGAACAACTAGTCCAGGAAAAGGAAATCTGGGTGAAAGAGATACCCCATTTTCAGACATGGAATCTCCAGCAAATGAGCCTCCATCACAATATCTAAGCTTCACACGGTTCCAGTTGTAAAAATCTGATTAACAGAATTTAATTAATGGGTTATAAAAGAATGCAATGCAATTATTCTAACCAGAAGAAAAATATAAAATCTGAGATCTGAACACAGACAGTGGTTTGTAATTATTCGTAGTAGATTTGTGTGGCAGTTATACAGTATATTATGTTAGCCAATAGCCATATTTAAGGGTGAACTTCCATTTTGAATAGCTTCACAACGAGGCACCATTGTTATTTATGGAAGCCCCAACAGTAAGGCTACAGCTAACAAAAGCCGACAGACAAAAGGAATCGCGTTTGGCCCTCCTATTCATCACGTGAATGGGCCAACAGAAAATGTGAGGGAAATGGACAAATGTGCTGTATTTCCAGAATCATTAAAACGCAATTCCATAGCTACAAACTAAATAATGCCTATAGATAGATTTGAGATGATAATTTAATTCGTTAAACATGGAAATTAATAATTTTGATGGACTGTGAATTGCAATAGAAATGTTAATTTTACCTGGATTAAGAGAAGCATGTCGCTTAGGATTCCATTGAAATCCCCCTTGTCATTTGCTCTGTCAGATCCACGGCGTGTTGGGCTCTTCTCAAGCATGATTTAAATCGTACACCACCCACCCTAATCAAACAAGTTCATCACATCGTTGGTGAATATATGAACATTATGTTATAAAGAGGCCTTGCCAAAGCTGGTTGGGCCGCATATGCGATGTTAAAAAGGAAATGACTATTTTAAGCTTATCTGGAAAGATTGAAAAAAAAAAAAAAAACAGGGAGTGTTATTTTTCCTTCCAAAATTTTCCTCTTCATATCGGCGGAAATAGAAAAAGTTATAAAATCTTCATAGCGCGGGGTTTGGGGGGACAAATAGGAAAATTGGATTGAATTAATTTCCATTTTATTTGCTTTTTTTATTTTGGGACTTATTTTCATATCGGTCAATTTGATTTTGAGTTTTATTGAGTATTAAATCAAAAAAATGTTATTCTTTATTTTATTAAATTGCATCAAAGTAAATTTTAAAAAATTGAACTCAAATGACCAGATTTAGTTTGACGTTTATAAGAAAAACTGCCCAGAGATACATATTTTTTCAAATTTTTCCTTTTACCACTCTTCTTTTCTTCCCCTTTTTTCATTTCTCATTACCACCTTCTTTTTCTTCCTTCTTTTCATTTCTCACTTTTTTTTAAAATTTTTTTCCTGTGTTTTTCCAAATAAAAGCGTTAAGTTACAGCTTTTCCCTCCAACTTCGCTTATACGACTTGACGCTACTTTTTCTATCCCGACCGTGGGCTTTCCAGGTTCCTTCTCAATGGTCTCCAATAAGGCAATAACGCGGTATGAGAAGTGCAAATTGCAAAAGGCAATATCGCCCCACAAGTCACAGGACACTGAGGAAAAGAACAACGATGCCGTATTGATTTTCGAAAAACAATTTCAATCCCAGAACTGCATATGTGGCAAGTTCTAATTGGAGTCTTTTTCTAATCCAATTTTGTTTCGCGCTCCTTTTCACTCCTTTGCTTAATTTTAAAAAGCGGAAGCAGAGAGCTTACCTCGAACTGCAAAATCCAGTTGTTTGCACCAGCTCCGGATCCTTTATGCAAATGATATGCCGGCAAACTTCCATCCAAACAAACTACGAACATTCACAAGCCAAAAAAAAAAAAAAAATCTGTTAAAAAAACCAGGAATAATAATCGCCTGACCAATAAATAATAAATAAACAAATGTCACTTTATTCTCCAATAATTTTTTAAAAAAAATTTTCCCTTCAAAAAGGAAGAACAAGAAGGAGAAGAAAGAGAGTTACAGGCACCGAGAGCCGAAGCATTTTGAACCAGAGTCATGTCCACCACAAGCCGGCCGGCCAAGCAAATGCGCCATAGAGCGCAATTCAGCAAAATCAGGAACATCGCTACTGCCATCTTCATCTTCGCGAGCTAGCTAGAGAGCTGGTTGAAATGCAGAAGACGAATACAATGAATCTCATACAAATTAAAGAGAATTTATAGCCGAAGCACATCAATTAATTCAAATCTCCAATGTGTTGAGGTAGATTATAAATTAAAAACGATACTATAAAGAGCGTGCTGGGAAATCTACGTCGTCGATACGAAGGAAATATATATATGGAAATCGACGTTAACATTATGTTTGGGAATGGATGACTTTGTGGGAGGAAAAAAAAAAAGGGTAGACAGTACCTTGCAATTCTCAATTTCTTCTGTTCGGAACAAGTGAGAAAATTTGGAGAGAGGAAAACTCTCAATATTTTCCTACGGTACACACAATTTCTCAATCTCTCCAAATCGGAGAGGAGGTGATGAAAATGAAGGGAAATTTTTACTGTTCCTAAAAAGTACAGAACTTTTAAATTTATAAGAATATTGTTTTCCTTTCTACCTCTCATTTTCCTTCGAAACCAAATATAGGGCGGAAAATAAGGAGGGAAAATGAACGGTAATAATCCTCTCTTATTTTCCTTCCTCTCTAATTTTACTTCTTCTCCTTTCCAAATATAGCATAAATGTAAGTACTTAAGAAAAGAGATTGAAGTAATGATGAGAGAAGGAAATTTAGGAATGCGTTTAAGCTTCGAGGAGGATTGACGCATGAAATTGAAAAGCTGATTGTCTTGTTTGGGATTAAAAACTAAAAAGTTTACATTTGAAAATACCCATAGCATGCAAGTTGCATAAATGCATTTCTGTGAAACTTTACATTAAATAATGGATTTGACATGTGAGCTCCAAAGTTTCCAAGTATAGTATTCCAGTCTCGTCCAAGATTGAAAATGGATTTCTGTTTTTATTTATAATAATTTTCTTGTTTCATAAACATACACTTGCCTTTTCTTTTCCATTTGTCCAAAAATAATTAATTGTTTTATTTTCTAATGTACTCTTGTTGATTTTATATTTTTTATTATTTATCAAGAATGTTGCTCATCGTTGTTTTAATTTCCTATAAAAAGTAATTAAATATAACAATTAAACAAAATTATAGAAATAGTTAATAATTGTAGTTAGATTTTTAGTTGAGTATATAATTTAAACAACTCAAATGCTGCATTCTAGGATAAATAATTATATATAGATAAAGTTCAATAATTTTAAATAATTTTAAAAATTAATCATATCTAGATTTTTATTGGGTGTATAATTTAAACAACTCAAATACTTAAATATGGAGGACTTTAGTAAATAATTAATTAAACTACTTAAGTTGGCCAATCACAACACAAAAAATTAAAGAAAAACTTTAAAATTTTTTTAAGAAATAGAGAAATTTTAGAAATAATAATAGTAAAAAAAATTTTAAAATGGTAATTTTAGAAATACAAAAATACTATTTAATTAAGGTGGACGTACTATTGTGGAATAAATTGAACCCACCTCCACAGCACCAATCAGGGCCCTCGTCAAGCCAGTGTCTGTCTCCATTGAACCTAAACGTGAGTCTCCAATTTTGCATGATATTAACTAAGCTCCGGGGGCAACTCCATTCAGTAGCGTCTTCTGAGAAATTCATCAATGAAAAAACCCAAATGTCAAACATTCTACAGTAGAAAGAATGCAACAAACTTAAAATGGCAGTACCTTTGGGTGGAAGGCTGTCGCAATACCAGCTACATGAGTACCATGAGGGGCGCTATCAGTTACGATATTTAAGACATTTCCCTCATCATATAGATTAAGTACAACTGAGCATGCATCCAAATTGCTGAACATACCAAATTTCCTTTCAGCCCTGAAACAACAGTTTCTGTAGAATTATTTAAGAATCCAAATTGTATGAAATGATATTTCATTGCTGCATATGCATTACTAATCCGTTTACACTGTAAAATTCACAAACCTAGCAGGGGCGCAAAATTGTTAAAAAGAAAATAATCAAAAATTTTCAACACTTAAAAACCCCAAAAAAATACAACACACAGACATCAGACGGATGATACACATGCAACGAAGAAATCAAGCAGGATTTCCAAAAACCTGATTGAATTCGTCAAGATGCTTTACTGCCACAGCAATTTCTTCCTGGTTTTTCTCATCCCACTTCTTTTTTCTTTCTTTCTGTCAATTAGAAAAGGGGAAGCAAATTTATGTTTATTAAGCAAATTACTAGTGCCGAAGTTTAGTTGTACAGTTTGCATTGCACAAAGAAGTGAGGACAACAATGCTACCTTCAAACGTGCAGTTAATGTGGCAGTAAATGGTTCATACACCAACTTATAACCAACGTGCCATTCACCGGAAGGGTTTTTCCATGAGGAATTGACAGCCAGAGCAGCTCCTATCAAACACATTTCATTACAACCATTCACAGAGTTCAGAGCTAATGCAACTTACTATTACCATAAAAGAACAGCACAATTTTCTCACACTAAAAAAAAAAAAAAAAAAAAAAAAAAAAAAACAAAAAACAAAAACAAAAATGAAAGAGCACAATCAGTATAGTCAACAAGAATAACGATAACAGTTCAAGGGCCAGCCTGAAGCCCCGCGGATGCAACAATCTGCATCAGCTTTCACGACTTTCGAAGTATCAATGTCTCCACTCCCAGTGCTGGAGAAATAGAAATGGAAAATACCTCAGGACAAAAATTCATCAACAAACTGCTAATAATAAAGCTAAGTAACTTTGTTAATACCAGTCAATAACATCGAGGATCTTCGGCTTCCCATCCGAGGTCAATTGCAATCCAGCAGCAGCCGGGTCAACTCCAGAATCTAATAAATTCAAGCCATATCTTACGCAAGTAATCAATCAAACTTCTCCTATTAAGGTCAAACAGAGAATGATCAGGTGAGTATTGCAGTAGTACCGAAAATAGCTATAACTACGCCACGTCCGCCAAACTCAGGATGAGCATCAATGAAGCGATCGGCGCCAATCTCCTTCTTAGGCATGAGAGAAGCCAAAAAGGTGGACTCGTTCAGCTTGAAGTAACGAAGCGAACCATTATCATCTCGGCCTCCTCCACCACCAACGCCACCAGATACAGTGCTAGCAGAGGAACAAGGCATGGCACTTCTATTGCTCTTATAATTGCTCCTCCTCCTCCTAGTACCAGTACTACTCCACTGTCTCTCCTTTACCTCTCCTCCCCTTTTGCTGTTAAACTTTGTCGGTCTGATGAGTAGAGAGGAAGAAAGAGCGTCAACTTGGAAGCAAAATGACGGTGTTTTGGGCCAACAGATGGTCTTAAATACTGGGCTGCATTTGTTTTTTTGGACAAAATGTAAGGGCGTTTTAGTAATATTAGCGTGGGAGGTGGTCATCGGTGATGACTGATGGGCAGAGTGTACTGCGGCGGAGGTAATAGAGCGCCACCTGGTGAAGTAAATGGACTGATGGGCAGAGCTGTCTGCGGCGGAGGTAAAGAGCGCCACCTGGATAAGTACAGCGGATGGCTGCGGCAGTGGTTCTTGTTGGATGGGATTGGGTGCGTAAATCTCGTATTTGTGGTGAGACTACTATTGAACATGGCTGGCCTTTTCCTTATTGAGGTTCACAAAGCCGCAGATTTTTTTCTATTTTCCATTTTATTAAGGAAATTTTGCCATTCCAAATCTAGACAGTTTAAATTTACGAATTTTATTACTTGTATCTTATTCGTTATGTTTTCAAGAAGAAGAGATGCTAATGGAATAAGAAATTTCCAACTTCGAAAGCCCTTCGTTAAGCTCCGATTACAGGTGTGTCCACCTTTTTAGCGATCTGCTATATTCGTTTTTTTTAAAGTCTTGCAGCGTCTGAGGAGTGTCAATACGGTGGATAATTTATCGTTATTTATCAGTTAATCGTATTACTCCGATTGCGGGGTTACATAATCGATTACCAATTCATTAATTCAGTACATTGTTTTACTAGTTGATTTTGCATATTATTTGTCAAATTAAAAAGCTATATCAAATTACGATATGTGTTCATTAAAATTAAATTGCTTTATTATAAAACTTAAAACAATACACCGCTTTTCAGAAAAATTGAGTAAATTCAAATAATTTTGAGGTAACTTACACCTTATTGAAAAAGGGTAAAAAAAAATTTTACTCTCTACTTCATTGAAAGAAAATTACAATCTCGTGGATGAAAGAAAAAAAAAAAACGAAATGAAAAATTCTAAGAAACTTCTTATGGCATGTTGATAATTTTTGTTTGCTGAGGCAAAAGAATAACTGCATAATAAATACTTGTTTTTATTAATTTTTCTATGTATTAGTTTATTGTCTGGATTTCTAAATTCAAGCTTCAATGCGGGACAATATCGGAACAGTTAATGCATAGATTTTAACCATGTACTTTCGGTGATTATTTATTTGATTTTGCATTTCATATTGTTATAAGATCATGATGAAATCCGAGTTTAAAGAATTTCAAGGAGTCACCTAAAAAGATTTTTTTTTTTTTCCCCCCGGGGGGGGGGAAGGTTAGAGTCAAATTATCCATTAAGAGGTCCTAAAACAGAAAGAAACAAAAAAGGGCAACCAGAACCATAAGCCGTACTGGATTGCCATCCATTGGTTTGGATTAATGCAGAGTTGTTTCCTTGTGCCTTTTGCGCAATCTTTGCAGCTATCAAGTCACTCCTCAGGTTATGTGGACTGAGAAGAAACGAACCGAAGAGCATTCCTAGTAGTCCCAGGGACAAAAAAAATATATACAATCGGGCTAATCTATTGTAATTGTCTATAAGCGTATACTTGTTGTATCCGAAACCTAAAATGAAAATCAAAATACAATTGTATGGTAAAGCAACCACCGCTAAAATTGACTTTCAAATAAGAACATGTAAATCTGACAATTAAGTGGCTCTCATATTCTAGCATCCAATGATCAACAATTATGAATTTTGAAGAAGTGTTATTCCTTTACTATAAAATCCAGAGAAATTATGGATCTTACAATAGTTTCAACATTATTGTGCTTTCTTGCTAACATGGCTATAAAAGCCTTAATATGTTGTTGAAAATTGTAAGGCAAATGATTTTTTTTCATCCCGTTGATTGCTAAATTTTTGTAACTTCATGTGTATATTTTTTCTATACTTCTAATGTTTATCTTAAATATCTAATCACAATATATACTCTTCCTTTTAGTATATCTGTTCCTTTCACTCTTTCCCTGCTACCCATACCTTTGATTGGAGCTTCAAGAAAGAGAGAAAAACCACCAAGAATCTTTTTTGTTCATTTATGAAACCTTGCAATATTGGCTTTACTCAGCGACAAAAGATAACATATATGAGCATCGACATTAAAAATATTTTTGATTTAGGAAGGAGATTACATACCGGGATGATGGTTATGAGTTATGGACAGGATATTATCACATGGATATGCGACGTTCAATCTCTTTGGTTTAGTTTTCTACCAACAATACCAATCACCAACGGCTCTGCTATGTCTGCCAAAAGGACAGTAGAGTTATTAGTTCACAAGTGATGTTGATGAGTTTATTTAGTAAAAATGAGGTTTTGTGAAGGATTCAGCAACCAAATTTAAATCAGTAAGGAGATGGAAATGGAATAGACAAAAGAGTTTACTGCTGAATCCAGCTTAATTTCAAGGACATTGTTAACCGAAACAGAAGGCATATTGTGTGTGAGTGGATTGAACAAAGCTTTCATGCAAATTAGACAAACACATTCCAAAATTTAGCCTTAAACTGTGGTTCATTTTATAGTTTTTGATAGCTTGAAGTGTGAAAAAATAGCATTATTTAACTCATTTAATTAAGAGGCCTAAAAATAGCTATCAAGCCCAATGGATAGTGATGTCAAAGCGATGTATTAAGGGAAGAATAATGATTCTGAAGCTTAATGGGCAGACAAATGAAGCTGTGCTACTTGTTGTTTATCCCGTGGGGAGTCAACCGCAAACCATTGTGTCTGGACTCGCTTTGACAATGAAGCAATAGCAAGAATTAAGTAAACATATTCCCATCGTGGAAATTTCTTCGAGGAAAAATTACTCCAGGGCTATTCATGCATACGACGCCTGAATAACCCTGGTAACACAAGAATATCGCACACACAATAAGTGATAGTTTAAAAATTTATGTAAATTTAAAAATTCATAAAGAATGTCTGTGCGACCATCGCGCAGGAGACCGAAACTACAGTGTTAAGTGTCGGATCTGCCATTGGTGTGTTCCAGCGTTGCAACATCTCATCCATTGTCCACTGCACAGGTCGCAGACAGGATCAAACCACCCAATATATGGTGTGAATGTTTGAAACTTTTAAAAATTTTCCCAATATTCTATTACTCGTTGTAATGAAACTACGTACCTAAAGGTGTTGCGCACATTGGTTGCGTGAAGATTTCAATCGTCTCAAGAAGCGCTAGTAGAAATATTACCTTGGCGGACACACATCATAAGCCTGCATTCAGTGAATGACAGAGATTAATGGTGTCTGTGGATGAAACCTCAATGCATATTGCGGAAAAATGCACCTGGCATAATATCATTACACTCATAAACACTCACCATAAATATTATTCGTACCAAAAACCTTGAGCTTATGTGAGGAGCCTGGTAACCCCGATATCGCCGTATAAAATACAACTAACGGAAAAAACAGTATAAGTGAGTAGGGTAAAACCAATCCAAAGATGGTTTGTAGGCTATTACTGTCCGGTAATAAGTTCGATACCAATAATAATATATAATTGAATCTCAGATTTCGTTCAACAATAAAAGTAAGGACAAGAATTAAAGGGTGAAAATAAATTTACCAGTTTCGGATCTTTAAAGAGCATATTGGTGCTCCTGCAATGTGTTGGTGTGTATGCACTTTCTTTATTTCCCTGCCCGTTGACAGAATCTTAGTATAACTATGGGAGTTTACTTAAAACTTGGGCAATATCTATCCATAAAAGCCTTGATCAAGCATAATTAGATAGTCTGGTTAACACGAGAACTTGAGTTAGGGGGTTTCTTTATGGTGCATATTATAATTTTTACCACAACATTCTTGTCTAAAAAGCTGAGAAAAAGCGCAACAGAATCTATAATCCACTTCTGTTACTGAGTAGACAACTTCAGTCTTTTACTCATGCTGCGCCGGAATATCTGTACTCGGCTGAATTATGCATTAAGCACCAAATTCCGGTGCCTGAAGGATGAATTCATTCTCCTTAACCCTGATCCCCAGCTAAAACACAAGCAATCCAAGAGAAAAAACGCATCTACATGCTGATGGAAAACATTCCACTGAAATTACTGAATTGAGGAGTCTTTCTACTTTGACTTGTAAAAGCAGAAAAGATATGGTTGGTAACATTCAAAAAGCATAATGTTTTACAAAGAGCTTTACGCATCATATAGTTGGTTGGAGAAATAGCGCAAATACAGGGACATTCCTAGATTTATATGTCAAAAAATATTAGGAAAACAATTTGAGGAGGGCAATTAGTTGAAGTGTATTGAGAGTTACGTGAACACCCAAAATAAGTGTTTCCACTGTGCATTTTCAAATTTGTATTGTTGCAGAGAGTAGAGAGACTAAAGATTTTCAAAAGGTTTTACCTGCAAAGTAACAAAAGACTTTCATAGAGGATCTCATAGTGGTGGTTCAAACTGATGCTTTTCTGTCAAAAAGAGAAAAGGAATATTTAAGAAGTGATAAAGGTTCTTGTTACAGCCATGCAAGAAAGTACAATCTTACACATCCACGAAAAAATCCTGCATCACCTCAAGCAGCTCACAGTGGCAGTTCTCGGTTAAACTTTAGCCCAAAGCTGTCCACAATGGGAGAAAGGCTGATAAACCAGCAGAGCAACCTGAAAAGCATAGCCTATAGGAGGAGATCAATTTGAAATTAATATCGAAATGACGAGTAAATATTAGCAATCTAACCAAAGAGGATCACATTTTTTTATTTCTGGTATAGTTCAATTAGTTGGTCACCGCGTCATTATATGTCATATTAAATGAACACCACCCCCAAAGGTTTTTTTGGGGTGAGAGGCAAATCAAATTCTTGCGTTGAGTAGCTTTTACCTTATCTGCCTGTGCTAAACCCTGGTGGAGAAGATCTTCAATAATTGCCTCCCTAAAAATCCTTTGGCCTCTGAAATAGAATGACCGAGTCTGTTTTATGAGTGCAAAAAGGAAAAAAGTTAATAGAGGCAAACAATGTCTTTTTATTAAATAATTATAACAGAACTTGTCTTCCAACAAATCGAAAGGCCATTTTAGTTCATCTTTTCATTTAGAATGATATCCAGCACGCGTGCATCAGAAAATACTAAAATAAAAATAAAAAAAATGATAGTATCACTGCAATAAACCCCTCTAGTCGTTTTCAGAGTGTCTTCCTTGAATAGGATTAAAA